ACCGGCGGCGGCGGCACTTCAGCCACCGCTGCCAGCTGTGCGACTTCGCGGCGCGGGAGCGCGCCGGCCTGGTCAAGCACTACGTGGAGCGGCACGAGGGCGAGGCGGCCGGCCAGCCCCCCCTGCGCTGCCCCTTTTGTGACTTCGCGTGCCGCCACCAGCTGGTGCTGGACCACCACGTGAAAGGGCACGGCGGCACCCGGCTCTACAAGTGCGCCGACTGCGCCTACAGCACCAAGAACCGGCAGAAGATCACCTGGCACAGCCGCGTCCACACGGGGGAGAAGCCCTACCGCTGTCACCTCTGTCCCTATGCCTGTGCCGACCCCTCCCGCCTCAAGGTAAGGCCGCGGGCCGCCAGGGAACTCCCCGGGTTCTCGGATCCCGGCTCCCGGTTATCCATTAGTTCCGGGACCTCCGCCAAGCCCCTGTGAGAGTGGGCCCCGGGGCGCGGGGGGGTGATGCTTCACGGGGTGGTTGCAAAGGTGAAATTCCAGCGTGCGCGCTTGGCCCGCGACCAAGGCATGTAATAGTTGGGTGGTCATCTAGACGATAACGGCCAGCATTTATCGAGCACTTACTGCATGCTGGACGCGGTAATTTTAATCCTCGCAAAACAGGAGATCTAGTTACCTTTGCTCTTTCTCGTTTTATAGATTAATAGACTGAGAGTTAGGGGTTAAGCACCCAAAGACAGGCCCAGTGGGTTAGGGTGGCGTCAGAGTGGCCAGACCGGGGAGCCCGCTTGGGAGTACGGCGAGGGTGGGAGCGCCTCCGTTGAGGACCAAGGGTGCGCATTTTCCGGGCATACTCTGCTCTTCCCTCCTCCAGTACCACATGCGGATCCACAAGGAAGAACGGAAGTATCTGTGCCCCGACTGTGGCTACAAGTGCAAGTGGGTCAACCAGCTCAAGTACCACATGACCAAGCACACAGGTGAGTCTGCGTGGTTTCGACAGGCCTAAGGGGGTCCCCCTAGCCCCCACTCCCTGGCACACCCAACCTCCCTGAGGTGGCGGATGTCCTTACTCAGATTCAGGGCGCACATTGGGGGTAGAGGGGAGGCTGACTGGCCAGAATAGCTTCCCAACCCACTGAAGACCTATGAGCATCAGGAGAGAGGTGAGCCTGAGGGCCTGGACATGAGTACTTTGTAAAGCTTTCCTGTTGACCGTGGCACTAGGCCACCCACCCCCCATTGAGAACCCCCCAGCATAAACCTGTGACTGACGGAGGTCTGCTTAGTTCCGGCAGACACGATGGAACTATTAGGAGTAACGAGGAGAACATGGAAGGTTCACCTGTTTTAACTTCTTTTTTTCTCTTGGGTATGGAGTCCATGAATTTTAGGTGCTCAGGAAACGGCTAATGATGGCGTGCCTGTATTACGCATAGGATGCCCTCATGTCAAGGAAATAACCAGATACATTTCAGGGCACTCTGCATCTGTGAGGGCCACTCTCTTGCCTCTACCCCTTCCTTCTTAAGCATTTTCGTTAACTTCTTGAGTTGAACAAGGAGTTCTATTTAAATGGATTCCCAAGTTCCATGAGTACCCCGTGATCAAAAGGGGGTTGGAGTTTCCCATTTGGGGATATCTGAGTGAGTATTCATTGCTCTCAGGTGGCTACTCAGGGGTCCAGTTAGTTAGCAGCATTCATTGGGCACTCATTGTACACAAGGGGCTGTGTCGGGAGGAGGGCATGGAAACGTCAGACAGGGCTGGAGCGTTCCAGAGGTGCGGTCCTGAGTCAGCTTGCTGCTTGGGTCACGTCCCAGGATCTCAGTGACTCGGGCCGTGAGACGTTGCTCCGCCCCCTTCAGTAGTAATTTTGTTCGTTGGCCCCGCCCGCCCTGTAGGGCTGAAGCCATACCAGTGTCCCGAGTGTGAGTACTGCACCAACCGGGCCGATGCGCTGCGCGTGCACCAGGAGACACGGCACCGGGAGGCGCGGGCCTTCATGTGTGAGCAGTGCGGCAAGGCCTTCAAGACACGCTTCCTGCTGCGCACCCACCTCCGCAAGCACAGCGAGGCCAAACCCTACGTGTGCAACGTGTGCCGCCGTGCCTTCCGCTGGGCCGCCGGCCTGCGCCACCACGCCCTCACGCACACCGACCGCCACCCCTTCTTCTGCCGCCTCTGCAGCTACAAGGCCAAGCAGAAGTTCCAGGTGGTGAAGCACGTGCGCCGGCACCACCCCGACCAGGCCGACCCAAACCAAGGCGTGGGCAAAGACCCCGCCACCCCCACGGTGCACCTGCACGACGTGCAGCTGGAGGAGCCCAGCCCCCCTGCTCCTGCCGCCCCCCCACCCGCGCCCGAGGGCTGAGAGCCCACGCGGCCTCCTGGCGGGCGTGGGCCGAGCCGTGCCGGCTGGAAGCAGAGTTCGCCTGCGGCTCGGGGCCTGAGGAAGGGCTGGCTTCGAGGAGCCCGGGCGGCCGGAGGCCTCCGGGGACGCAGGCTGTAGCACTGTGACGCTGATGGCCACATACCCGAGTGACATGGACCACAGATTGATTTCCGGTTGGGGCACACTGTGTTTCTAACCCGTGAGTGCCCGACTCCTTCATCGCCCCCCCCAGAGTCCCTGGCTCTGCGACCTTGGTGTGACGCATTCTCTCTTCCCCTGCCTCCTTGCTCTGCCAAGTCCGCACAGTGTATCTAACTGCATGTGCTGTCGCGCCGGCTGCTCTCTAAAGCATGTTAAACAGAACGGTTCCTAGCTTACCGACGCGTCCACGTCCCTGACTCAACACGGCCAGGCTGTCCTGTCCATCTGCCCGGCTCCCTCTCAGACCTCTGCCTCTCCTCTGTCTCTTTTCATCTTCGCCGAGGGATTCCGAAACGTTCCCGGGTCTGCCTTCTCTCTCTGTCCTTGAGCCTGTCTTGGCCCTTGCCCTGCTCCTTATTTCTGAGCCCCTTGGTCTGCCTGTAGACCCAGGAAGCCTCCCGCCCCGGAAGCAGCTTTAATTCAGCCTCTATCCTCAGCCTGGCTTGGCAGCTGCACGGGAGTTAAAGCACGAGACAGTGTGAAAGGCACGGGACTTGGGGGAGGCGGGGGGCCCAGGGAGAACCTCTAATCCAGAATTCTGTGAGTACCTCACGGTGACCATATGCTTAATCATTGAAACTGGGACACGCTGGGAAAATGAAGACGAGTACTTCTAATCATTATATCGGGACAGTAGACATAAACCGGGACTATTCCGGGCAAACTCTTGGGAGGGCTTGGATCACATAACCCTTTGTCTCCTCCTTTTGCCCTTAGGAGCCATATTTCTGTACCCTTCTATGTAGCACATGCGGGGGTGGGGGGGCCTGGAAACTTATTCTTCCACCCTTTCCCTGCCCCACCTGTCTTCCCCAAATGTCCCCCAACCTTCATATGTCCTCTTCTTGCCCAGCAACAGACCATACTCAAGCCAAACTGGGTAGAAAAGCTCTATTTATACAGGTGGGGCCAGGAGAGAGCAGTCCAGTGGGGACCCAGGGCTGTGCAGTGTTCTCTTGAATGTCAAAGTATAGTCTTAGGGTCTGGTGTCCTTCCCCAGCCTTTGCCTGGGGAACCTTGAGGCTTGATTTATCTTTCCCTTGGCTCTGGGCTTAGAGGAAGTTAGGGTGGAGGGGATAATGCCTCTTTGTGTCCTTCTGCTCCAAGCCCCTCTCTGGGTTGCAGCCAGCCTTTGAGCCAGGGTTGATGAGAGAGAGTAGTTCTAGGTCTGGGTAGGGGATTGAGCCTATGGCAAGAGAAAGGAAGGAAGTCCAGTATAGAATATGGGAAGGAAGGGGGTAGAAATGATACCACAGACTTGTAAAAATGAAGAAAGGGAAGAGAGAGAGAGAATGAAAAATCAGGTCCTAGATTGGCTTGTTAGGAAGGGTGAAGTAATTTTGTGCTTAGGAATGCACAATCCAAAACTTGGTTTTTACCACCTCGGTTTGCTTTCTGGAGCATCCTTCCAGGTTTTTCTTACCATCTCAAGCCAGTGCACCCACCCTTCCCAAGAAGTGCCCACCTTAGGATTCATCCCCCTCCAGCCCTTCCCGGATGCTGATATGCACGAAGATGGAAGCTGGATGGAGGCTGATGCCATCCTTGGAGAGCAGGTGTATGTGGCGGTAGCCTGGAGAGGGGCAGGAGGAGGGCATTAGAAGGACAGCCAGAGCCCGGGTGGTGGTGGCCAGGGGTTGAAGGACTGGCCCACCTTGCTGCATGCAGGTCCAAGGCACTGTGTACTGCCCGATAAAGTCATGTCGGGATTTCCAGTTGTAATCCTTGACCACGAAACGCAGCAGGGCCAGTTCGGGCACCAGGACCCGGAAGCTTAGCGTCTGCCCCCAGTATGGATTAAAACCTGAGGTGGGGGTGAAGGAGAGAGGGAGTGAAGGAATAGACCTTGTTGGCTGTTTGCTTTAGGCTCGTCCTTGTGTTCCACAATTTTCACAGCGATCAGCATCTTACAGGTGAGGGGATTGTGGTGCAGAGTGGGTAAGCAGGTTGCCCAGGTCACCGGAGCACAGAAGTAAGGGGCCAGGATTCAGATCCAAGATGTCCAAGCCCTTATTCTTTGTCCCATTCCACACTGCCTCCCATGGAGGTGGGAGAGGGGGTGGAGACAGGGACTGTGCTTCCTGGAGGGCAGCTGGGTAGGGAAGCAGCCACGCTCCTCCCCCCGCCCCTCCACCCTCCCAGCACCGCCCAGCCTCACCGTTGTTCTCCACGTAGCTGGTCTCTTGCCGGGTTGTGTCAGGGCGGATGCCAAAGATCTCCACTCTCACCAGTGGATCCACAATGGACCTCTCTTTACTCATGTCCTCCTTGGGGAGTTGCTGCCCACTGATCACCTGCAAGCAGGACTCTGGGACCTCACTAGTTCCTGTTCATCCCAGCCC